GGGGGGGGGGGGGGGGGGGATCCCAATTAAAAAACGAACACCCTCATTATCATGTTTCATGATAGTGACTAGAATTGCAGGCTCTCTTCCAAATGGGGGCTTTTCAAGTCTTAAGGAAGATGGATATGTAAAGGCTTATGTTCTTGCTTTTTGTATCATCCCCAAATATTTACTGAAGCTGGGAGAAGAAAAGGCAGACTTCCCTCTTCTCTCTTCCAAACGTGTGATTGTTTAGAACTCAAGTGCAACATCTGGAAGTCAGACACACAGAGAGCAATTTATGGAGTGTGAAAGATTTGAAATATTCAGTGTCCTTTAGCGGGAACTCAACTTTCTGCGGCTGCATTTTTTTTCCCCCCGGCACAAAGCAGGCAGTTCTGAGATCGCCTCTGCCTCTCTGAATTAAACCCTTTGTGCCCGGGTCCCATAAACAATGTGCTTTTTAAACGGGAGCCCCCTCCCCGCCCTGGCCCTTTTCTCCAGCGTAAGCAGCCAATCGGCTGCAGCCAGCCGCATTGCTGGAGCACTTTCCATTCTGAGCAGCAACAACGTACTAATTTGATGCACACATGGATGGCTCGCGCACTCTGCAAATCCATCCTCAGCATCTTGCATTAGTCATCTGACGGACTGCCAAGTGTTTCATTTTCTTTTCATGTGACTTTATCATTATCACCTCTCTTCTCCTCCCCAAAAAAAATCTCCAAAGAGGGGAGGGGAAGGGGAGCAATCCAGCAGAAATCCAGCCCTGCCTTTCTTTTCACTCGAGAGCCAGTGTGAGGCTGATAAGGCTGCAGATGCATTGATGGCAGCCTTGCAGAACGAGACCTGCACTTAACTTGCAGCTGCCTCCGAGCTGGGTTTCAAGATGTCCACGCCCCGGGTGACAGCCGGCGGGGCGCTGCCCTGGGCTCGGGCTGGGTGCTGAGCAGCAGCAGCCTGCAGTGCGAGCCCGCCGCCCTGCCACCGAGGAGCAACCTAATGGTGCCTGTGCTTTGTTTTAGTTCATCAAATTTCTACGACTCATTAGGCACTTTGCCCCCACGCTCCTCTTCCTCCTCCTTCCGCCTCCCCGCCCCCACCCCGCTATTTTTTTTCTTCCTGTCCCTCACCGTGCAGCCCTAACTCTGGCTCCCGGTTCCCTTTTTGACAGTAACGGCACAGCCAACAAGATGAACGGCGCTTTGGATCACTCCGACCAGCCAGACCCAGATGCCATTAAGATGTTTGTCGGGCAGATCCCCAGGTCTTGGTCGGAAAAGGAGCTGAAAGAACTTTTTGAGCCTTACGGAGCTGTCTACCAGATCAACGTCCTCCGGGACCGGAGTCAGAACCCTCCCCAGAGTAAAGGTACAGTCCGCGGGGTGTGCGCGGTTGGGGGCCTTCCTGGGTGTCCTGGGCATCGCGGTGGGAGGGAGAACTGAGAGCGGGAGCCGCCTGCTGCCCCGGTGCCCGA